CCTTATTTTTCATGAAAAAGACTTCAAATAAAATCAATATCAAATCCTTGTACATTTTAACACTATAATTACCTGATGGAAGTTCTTCTCAACGAGAAATTCGTGATCAAATGTACGAAAATCAAAATATGCTTAGTTGCAGAAAATCAATGTCGTTCAAGGCGTCGTTAAGCTCAGTCAAGACATCACAAACCAGCCGTATTCTTCATCAGATCGAAGAATTATCGACTAAAATTTGTTATCAAAACATAAATGTGAAGTTACAACACATCTAAATGTGAAATTTTCCAAGGGCCTCCAAATCTTATGAGAACTCCCTCTTACTCTTCGATCTTAAAATTCCTCGGCTTCCTGGTACACAGTCCTCCTCCTTTGAGGCTTCTCCACAGGCAGCCCAAGCAATTACACTAATATAACATTCTTTATGGTCGTGGCAGTCATGAAACTTCGCCACTAAGAGGGACCAACCAATTGTGATTTTCTAGCTACCAAGACTATAAATGTATGGATAAATTTTGCAGAGGATTTTGATTAAAGTTTTGTGAACTTTTTTCTTACACCTGTCACAATGCCTTGAAGGAGACAGACTATAGCAGGAGGAAGATTTCCCGATTTTATTTGTTTTTTTACACAAGCATCAAACACCGTTGCCTCACATTGAGTTTATGACGACGTTATCATTGCCAAATATGATGATGGCTTAGGTTGGTCATTTGCCCTAAAAGGGGCCACAAAACTCAACTGATGGGAATTCTTGTCATTATCACCCTAAGCGGGACCAAAACACTGGTTTCAAACCCTAAAGCGGACAACGAGGATCCCCACCCTTTTTTATACCCTTTTTTATAAATAGATTCAATAGTGAAAAAACAAAAAAATAGCAAGATGAATGCAAAAAGTAGTAACATGTACAAATGAAAGAACCCCCTGATTAGTGCAGTAACTCTAGAAAACAAAAGACCCCCCTTGCTGAGGCAACCTTTCTCACCAAAATCATCTATTAACAAGCCCATTACACAAGAGGCAGATCAGGAGTTTTGTCAGGGGGGTGCAACATTGAAAATGACACATATGCACATTAATGTCTCACATTAGGACATGTTATAAAGGACACTTACATTAGTACCTTTTTGTTCCCAAAAACTTCTATCTACCTTATAATCAGAACAATACGAAAAAATACAAAAACAATAATTAAAGTAAATCCTCAGTTTGATTTTTAAACAACCTCAGTAGGTCAGAACAAATAGCTCTTAAAGCGACCTGTGTCAGTAATATGTTCTCAAGTCATGTACAGGAGGAAGTAATTGGCAACGAAGAAACCATTTTGTAGCAAAGGCGTGCATATGTACCAAATATTGTGACAAAAATTAAAAGGAAATATCGAAACCACCGTGAAAATATTAACTTGATATCCTTGACCTCATTGAACGAGCAACTGATGCATACGCACACAAAACTCCATCATGCTTGAAAGCATAGGATAACCTCTGTATCATCCACTATAAGTCAAAAGTGCCATAATATGCGTCCTCATTTGCTTATCAGAATAATTGACAAGCCTCAATAATCATATTCTTCAAAACATTTTGACTAGTCAACAACAAGCACCATAAAATAATTAATGAAAACGTTTATTGGAAAATTATGGTATACATGTAACTATAATAATAATTATTATAACTGTATGATGTCCTTAAATTCAATCTTTTAGCTAAGCTTGAATGGAATACAGAAATTATACAAATTTTTTGAGTTCAAACATTTTTCCCCGGGAAAAAAAAACATAGAAAGAATTTATGCTGTAATTGGGTCAATTTTTTTTTTTTTTTTTTTTTTTTTGCTACGTCACTAATGCTTTTGTCAATTTACTCCCTCATAACATTGGATTACATAATAAAGTGCTTAATACTGACCATGTTTAGACGGACCATATGGGAAAAATTTGTGTTTAGTCCTCACAGCATGACTGGGGCAAAATATTTTTGGTTTTATAATTAATTGTCCCAATCAAACTCAGTCAATAAAACTACAATATACATAATTATAATTATTTTATACACTGAGACATGATCGCCAGGTCTGGGAATCAAACCCATGACTGTAAACCCTAACCCTAACCCATACTGTAAACCCAAAGTCTGTTGCTTTAACTAACCACCATGTCTCTTTTAATAGGTTGAGGATGAAACAGCAGAGTTTGAAGTCACAATAACAGGACACATGGACCCTTTAGTCTGATAATATAAAAATTAGGTAACACCTAATAGCGGAGCTCCAATAGCAATATAGAAGCTGAAAATGATTATCTAGTACTGCCATTTCAAAGGTAGATGCTTTGTTCTAAGGAATGTGAGCTACAACAGTTTTGTTGACATGCAATACAATACAAGCGAACAAATATTATAAAGATTATGTTTATGAGAATTTAGTTCGTACTAATATTGACTTCGGTAGACTTTGTTCCGTTGGATGAAGTTTAAAATTATAATCTATAAAAGTCAATTGATTAAAAGTAAACTGAAAGCTTCTCGGCCAAAAGTAGTCTACATAAGCTTACAATTATCAACAATGTTTCAATAATCGATGTTTGAACCCGGACTACTCGAACTTCACATAATCACAGAAAAACTGTATACAAATATTTTTTACCTTCATTATCGAACTTCCGATAAATTATCGTTCAAAGGTCATCTTCAACAGAGCCATACTTGTTTCAAGCATAGGTTTCATCAATTTATTAAGTCATTCAAGACTGTWGATTCKTTGTTTTTAATCTCTCTCAATCTAACTGCTAGCATGGTCTTGGTTTCGAAATGTCCACACTTTTAGTCGACAAAAGAACTTCGCATAGATCCCTGCTTTTTCCCATATTGGTCCATATTATTGAAGTATTTCCAATAAAGTATCATCTCTTTTTGTTGTCGAAATATCAAAGTAAAATCCTTTTTTCTAATATCACCTAAATTGCTTTTCATCTTCGCAAATCGATTTCCCGGATGTGCGGACGCGTCGAAGTTATGACAAAATTGGCGGGAATATTTCTGTGTTGTTATTTCGCTCTTCAGTGGATTTTTTCCTTGTTATTAATTGTTCTAATATTATTAATATGTAATATAAATGTTTAAGGAAAAAATTTCGATTTTTCAACAAATACTTGGCGCTTTCTTTCCTTTTCGAGCGGAGTATGGGTTTCCTGTGGTGGTACACGGAATCCAGGACGGAAGGACGGAAACGTGCGTACGCGCGGGAACCCTGTGTCGGTCCATGGAAAATCGACTCGATGGTATACCATTTTTTCTTAGCTATGGTGCTCCGCTCGCGCGGGCCTTCGGCCCGCGCGGGAGCTCCGCTAT